CACACATACAGTAACAGCGACCTGTTAGTATACTTTTTTTTACCTCTTGTTTCAATTTATTAAATCGCTTATTTCGAGGATGATTTATATTCACTTCAAAAATATTTTATTGAGAAACCAATAATCAATACGATTTATACGATTGTAAAAAAATGTATATATTTATTTCATATTAATTATTCAATATGATAAATAAAATATATACAATTTTTAAAACAGTACAAATTTTCTAGATAGAATAATGCATAAGCAAGACTTGTTAAAAGTTGAAAATTTCCAGTGATCTAAAGTGTTGTATTCATTAAGATTATAAAATTGTTTGTTAAACGTTATTTACTTAGACGCCAATGGCTGTGTTAAATGCTGGCATTATCCAACCGCGCAATGTCTTTACACGATACGAGAAAAGCGGCAAACACTCGGTCTGGCTTATCATCCTCAATTACCGAAGTTTGTAACTGTCGGAGACGATATGGTTTTATGTTTATACGACGAAGAAACGAAGACCTTGGAAAGGATATTTTGTGGAAGGTAATTATCTTAACAGGAATATTCTCTGTAATCTGTAAAATGTCCTATGTATAATGGCATTAATCTTCAGTCACTCGATGGATGTCATGGATGGCCATAAGTCCAGAGTTTTCAGCGCTTGTTTCCACCCCAAATCCGCATACGAGCTAATAAGCGCCGGCTGGGACGATACCGTTCAATTTTGGGACACCAGACAAGCTCATTCTCTTCGTTTCATATCAGGTGTACACATGTGCGGAGATGGCCTAGATATTAGTACAAATGGGAAAGAGGTGCATTCGAATTTATTAATTTTCATATCATTATTTTATATCGCATTATTAGAAAATCCAACTTGCGTAAAATACCGATATAACATCGTACAGTTAATTAGAATCATTCGCTAATAATTGTATATGCTCACAATTATTTTATACATCAGCTTGACAAGTGTGTAAAATTTACATGACTCTAAACTCCTCTCGACAGATCCTTACTTGCTCCTGGCAAAGGGAGGATCCGTTGCAATTGTGGGACTACGGTAGCGGCAAGCTCATCGTCAGCTTGGAACCCGATAGTTATTCTTCTTTATTATACGCCGGAAAATATGTGACAAGCATGTACGTCGCATGCGGTGGTAGCGACACCGATCTCTTCAGGGTTGTCGATCTGCGATCTCATGCTGTAAGTCTATTGAGATCAAATAGTGAGATGATACAAAACATGTTCTAAATGTTACAACTGAATGAATTATCCATAAGATAATTATTTTTATCGATTGTTCTTATTCCAAGATAATAATCTGATAATGTAACTGTATTTATCTTTCTAGACTATAGCTATGATCAGATACTTCAAGGGCGGTGTATATAGCTTGGACATCGGACCGAATCGATTAGAATCGAAGCCGGGTAAACGGCCGACTCTTCCGAAACTCGCTTTTTGCGCTGGAACGACGATTTTTGAGGTGGACGCGCAACCTGGTTAATTGATTTGTGATGCATACATTTTTGATACGCAAAAATATACATTATTCTGCAATTTACACAACTTAGTTTAATGATTCAGAACTTGAAAATAGATTGTTTTACATATTTCTAAGCAAAGCTGACTGCTCTAACACATTTGTAAATATCCAGTCGATAAGATAAAAACTTTGATATTTTTTTTTATAAAATAGCGCTTTCATATATATTCTGCAGAATAATATACAATAATTATTTTCGCCTAGCAAACGCATTAATTTTTTTCTTTTTGTAACAAACTCAAAATACGATATCGCTGTACATAATGCGCTTTAGAGATAAAATAATAAAAGAGAGAAAAATGATAATAAATACTGAATAATGCTTTTCAATGTTTTTCAATGAAACGACACCAGCTATGTTCTCAAGCAATAAACAATGTATTTTATTTAATACAAACTATAGTACAAAATTTTTATACAGAACAACGTACGGTTTTATCATCATTTCTCATATGACAGCAAGTTCCCGTATCGAACGAACGCACACACTTAAGCAAGACTTAAGAGATGAGGGGGGGGGGGACTGGGACGGTCGAAGGAAAGGGGGGGATAGGGATCAAGGGGGACATCACTAAAACTGAGCACATCGATTTGTGACAATACAAACTTACTTGACACGAGCAAATTCATCAGTTGACAAGCGACTCGGTATAGAAAAAAGATCGCTCGCGCACAAAACACGCTGAGAGAGCAGAAAGCGCATCGTTTTTTTTAGTACTCGCACCAAGGACGACGCGTCCTGTTTTTCACAATACTTGTGAATAATTATAATATATTCATGCAACCGTTGTAGATTCCATATGGCAGTCTCATTGAAATCTTGCATTCGACTAATTACAAACATTTCGCATATACTCTAAACTTTCACGATTCTGCTGGACACTCGAGACTCTGAAATTTTTCCTCCTCGCAACACGAAAGAGGACGCGTCGTCTCCGGCTGTGAGCTATCGCAGAAAGAAAAAAAAAACAGATCCTCCTTATAAATCGCATCCGATTGTACTTAACCGTGTAAGTAGATAATAGTTAATCTCTAGGGTGCGATCCAACAGACTATTCGGAAAAAACTACGTGTTCCGGCACATCTCGCGCCCGATATCTACAAATCTAAACGATCAACGAGCCTAATTTGGTTGAAACGCGTTTGTAATAAAATAGATTTATTACACGATAATCGCGACGCGCCCGCGAAGCGCCTCTCAGTTAGCGGTCGCATTCTGTCAGAGTACATCAGAGTATAAAATTGGTCGTCAATGCGCGGTAAATCGGGTTTTCCCTTGTTTTCTTTTCGTCTAAACTAAACCTTCCGCGTGGAAACGTGCGCGATTTACAAAATTAAATCGTGATGAGTCGAGATGATATGTGTTTAAAAAAATATTTACGCTTAAAAAAAATATAGACGCTCCAGGTCGATCGATGGAAAAGTACAGTACGCGCACGTACTCTATGTATCTTTCCGTTGCCACTTCATTGTACTTTTTTTTTTTTTTCGACTTATCGGAATCAATGGCGGAACTTCCTGATGCACTATCGTCGCTGCATCGTCAGCCGTTGAAAAGCGTCGCACGACCAACCGATCTTGAATTAACTGTGATAAGGATAATCTATAATAGTAGGAGTACTAAGAGCGGGTTAAATAACAATTAATGAGACGAGTGAGGTACCTAATTCGCAAGAGCAACGCCCGTTTCAGACTATAACTCGCTCTCTATTGGATCACATGCAGCAGAGATCCGAATTCGAATACGCGTACGAATTACGTAAACCTAAACGTTGAGGCGGCGGATCAAGCCCCGATAAAAATCTAACGAGACTTGATTTCTCTTAATTAAATCGAAATCTGTCGCGTTGCAACATACATCACACACTTCCGGATAAGACAATACGTAATACTAAATTATTATCTTACAATTTAAGAGAGAAGAATCTATCCCATTACGTTATCTATCTCCGACTGACTGATTCCGCATAATTCCGCAGTCATGCAAAATATGGCCGTTAACGAGAAAGATCAAGGAGGAATCACTTCTCGGGGTTTCGTGAAACGATCAGAAGCTCGTGAATTTTGGTACCCCCGCCTTTTTCCGATCACACTCGTGCTTCCAGAACAGTCGCTCAACAGAAAAAAAAATACACACACTCCGCTACGTCGTGTCCTCGCACACTGTGCATCACTCTAATCACATTATCACCTATAAATTACTAATAGTGTGGCTTAACATTACATTATCTCGAGGTCTCGTCGTATGTAACTTTTGTTCCGTACACGTTACGACAAAATCGACAGAAAGTCGCTTCGCGGCGGATCGGGAGATTTATCGTCTCGCGAAGCAACTTCAAATCCGACGAAAAGAGACAGAGAAAGAAAAAAAAAGAGAAGAGATTAAGAAAGCGAAGCAGAAGAAAGGTCAGCGTGCGCCCGAGGCTCAGACCTTACATTCACAGCCTGACTGAGCACTCGGCTCTTCTTTCTCGTGTTTTCTTTTTTCCATCGCGGACCGAAACCTATCTACGCCGCCTATCGCGTAAAATCCATTCCGCGCCGTACATTTCTCGTATTTAACGCACACACGTTTGATTCCGAGCCCACTAACTTACGACGAAGTAATATAGGAATAACATTTATCTCTTCCTTAATTTACGTTGACCTCCTTCTCGACGCGCAGCCTCGTGATTGTTGCATTTCCAGCTTAAAATAATTGAACTAAGCCAAGATTATACAAGTTGACGAGAAGGAACTTAAAGCGCCTGTCGTTGTTTCATCGTAAAAAAAGATCCGAACGCTTGCGCGAAATGATCGTCTTACAAATAATAATTGATTATCTTACCGAGATGACAAAATCGTGAATGAAACGATCGTACAAGCGACTTGATGCGATTGATGCGACTGTTGTGCGGCAGTAATGATAAGAAAGAAAAAAAAAAAAGCGAAAGACGATAAGAAGATCCACTCTTGGAACAACAGGCGCGGCTGGCTCAAAAAAAAAACTTGCAATCATCCATCGCATAAAAAGAGATCACGATTTCATCGTCACGATGACGTTCGCGCGACCACGCGAGTACACTCTCGTCCAGATTAGGTACGCTGCGCTCGCGTCGCGCCTGAGAAACCGACGTGCACGAAGGGAGCGTCGCTTTTATTACATGGTGTTGTAGACGGGACTGCTGTGCCTAGGCCTGACTTGCAGCCTGGCGAGCGGATGGGTTCTGCCGTGCTGCTGCTGCTTCTTGCTAGCTGCCTTCGCCACCACGCTGGCCACGACGACGCTGGGCGACGGCACCGCTGGCGGCCTGCCGGGCGCCTCCGGCGTCTCGCTGTACAGCGGCGAGGGATGACTGTTGATCATGATCGGCGCCGACCGCCTCGAGAACTCGGGTGCGATTTTCGACTTCGCCGGCGGATGCACCTCCATAGCGTCCCAATCTTTGTCCTTGTGCGCGCGCAGCTGCACGTCCGTGCTCTTGCGGGACTCCGGCTTGGCGACCTCGTACTTGCCCACCAACACTCTGACGGAGAGGTCCTCCGCGTTGTCCTGCGACGACAGTGGCGGCGGCGGCGCCGCCTCGCTCCTCCTCCCCTGCTTGCTGTCTTGGTTTCGCCGACGCTGGACGACGACTGGATCTTGGATTCGTTGTGCGGGATCACCGGCGACGAGGGCAAACTCCTGATCTTGACGTCCCTTTTGGGTCGCGCTGGCAGCGACGACGACGCGTTCTCACCCTCGCACGACGCGTTCTCGGGACTCTTTTCCAGCTTGGTCGACTTCGCCTCGAACTCCTTCTTCAGGTTCTTCACTATGCCGGACGTGCTCCGCGGACACTCCGCTTCCGGCGAGTCGTCGACGGAGAGGCAGCGCTTGCTGAACACGGACTTGTTGCAGAGATTTTCCAGGACCATTTTGTGATGCTTGACGGAGGGACATTGAGGCGTGTTGACGACGCACGGGCTGGACGTCTCGCTCTCCGATCTGCAGGAGCGCAGCGAGAGAGGCAAATCGGACTCGGAGGACAGTGAGGATGGCGCCGGGGCGCTCGTGGATAATCTGCCGATCTGGCGCATCGGCGTGAGGGAGATGTCGATACTGCCCACCGGACTCGGCGAGTCTCTGCTCGCTTCCACCTTGAGATTGTGCTCCTGAGCGGGCGACGAGTCTCTCCTGCGCGGCGTCGGCGACGGCATGTGCTGCAGCAGTACTGGATTGTACGTCTCGACCGCGACCGCGTCCGACTCGGCGGTGGCCAGTCTGTCGCTCTTGTCATCCGCCGTTGAGGTGGTCTGCGTGCACACGCGTTTCACCCCGCCCGCGCTCGTGCCCTCCTCCAGTTTCTGCTTGGTGCGCTTCACCGTGCCCGGATGCCACGGTATCTCCTCCTTGTCGTACGGGAACAGGCCGCTAGAGCCGAGTAGATCGGACGGCCGCATGTCGTAGGAGCCCCAGGAACTGTTCCTCGACGGCAAGGTGGCCCACGAACTGTGCACCGAGTTGTTGTCGAGAACCACGGCGCTATCGTAACTGCTCCAGGAACTTTGTCGGCTCGGGGATTCCCTCGTGACGGGCTCGCCCCGTCTCTCCTCGCGATCGAACACGCGATCCAGCTGGGCGCTGAACGGATCGCCGTCCTTCTTCGTTTTCCTCGCCGCGATATCGGGACACGTCGTCGACGACGCGATCGACATCGCACTCGCGATACACTCACTCTCCGCGCTCACAACTTCGTCAGTTTTATTGTCGTCACACGAATCGGCACACGTTACGTCCGCGGACGCAGTCCAGACTAGACAATCACTATTATCGTTGATCTCGGCGGTGATCTCCTGCTTCGTTTCCTTTCTCCTCTCCCTCTGCTCCTCGCCGGGATCCCACACTTTCTTTTCGGAAGGCGCGCTCGCGACGGAGGCCGCAGCCTCCCGCGTCTCCTGCGTCTGCTCGCAATGCGGATGACCGTTCTCGATCGGCTTCGCATTGTCCTCCGAGCCCTGAGGCAGGCTCTTCGAATCCGAATCGGATCCTGGTGACGACGGTTTACTGCTGGCCGCCTCGAACTGATTCGTTAGATTGAGTACCAGGCCTTTCCTCTTCTGTCCCTGAGTTTCCAACTTACTAATCCTATTCTTTACGCTAGGTGTGCCGGGAGCGGGCGCAGGTAGATGCACTATTTTGTTCTGCGACACGCTGTAAGACTGCCCGTTGTCGCAAGGCATTAGAACGTTGCGAGCCTCTTGTTCTATTGCCGGTTTTTGATTCGAACCACGAAGAAGATCCTCACGTGTGACTTCTGCGTTTCCCGCCTTGTCGATGCTTTCCAACGACTGCGACAAAGGAACTGCAACGAGAAGAGCAATGAGAACATTTCACAAATTAAATTATGTATTCTTAATTAACTTATTTTATTTAAATTACAGACACATTGTCTGGCGTAATTTTTTATTTTTTGATAGATAGATTATTAAGATTTATTTAAAATTAAATAAAAATATCACGTTTGATAACAATTACAAATAATAATTGAACAAGTCAAATTTTCGATGAGAAAATTAACTCCAAATTCATTAAAAAATCAGTTTGTGCAACTAATATAATTTCATAGATATAAATCAAGATAGAAAATCGACTTACCGGAAGGTAACATATTCTCAGCGACTTTGACATTCGGTGACCAACTCTTTGGTCTTTGGCTACTTTTTTTCAATTCTGAACCTGAAACCTCCCGCATATGATTCTCCGTATTATCCGACTTCTCTTCCTTTTTTGATTGATCCTTCGCAGATGTGGGAGATTTCAGATTCGTGTCGGACTTGGACCTCTGAAGTTTTTCCTTGTTCTTCATCGCGTCCAAAATACCCTGGTACGTTTCCAGCTGCAGGAGGAAACTGTTGTTAGGCTTAATGCAATTGCGCTTCTCTTTAACATGCTTCCACGCTTGAGAAAAATCCCAGTTGTAAGCCTTCATAGCGTAAGCTATCACCACGGAGGCAGACCGGGACACTCCCATTTTGCAGTGCACCAACACCTTAGAGCCTTCCATCTTCGCTTTAGTAATGTACTTGAATGTGTTATCCCAGTGCTTCAGCAAGTCCGTCTTCTCGTCATCATATACACGTACATTCAGATATGTGAACATCCCCGGGAAAAAGTTGTCGATTTCCCGAGTAACATTTAAGATGTGTCTCACGCTGAAAGGAAACAATGTATGTTTTATTCGTTATTAAACACTAGAATCTTATAGTATAAAAATTGGTAGGTCTAGTAAGTTAGAATTTACATTTTCTTCACTACGATACGCATTGAAATCTGATATTTTAAACAAAGAAGTGGTCCAGAATGTTAAAATATGCATTTTACTAATTTTTATGCTTTAAAATCTTATATCACAACGTTTGATAGGCTTAAAATTTAAAAAATCGTATTTTTTTTTACTGCAACGCTTTAAAATTTTATATTTTAAACGAAGAAGTGGTCTTAAAATGTACATTTTAACATTCTAGACCTTTTCTTTCTTTAAAATATAAGATTTCAATGCATCGCAGTAAAATTCTAAGCCTACCAAACGACATGATACAATATTCGAAGGCACAAGAATGAATAAAAAAAACGTACATTTCAACATTCCAGAACATTTCTTTATTTAAAATATAAAATTTCAATGCATCGCGTTAAAAAAAAAAAGAAAAATTCAAGAAAGTTTCAATGCACCGCAAAAAAAAATTCTAAAATTCTCATAATAAAATCGAACGCACCCATTCTTCTGAAGTTCTTCTAAATTACTGGCATTCCACTCGCTTCCGAGGTACACGTGATCGAATATCTCAGTCGGTGCATCCATCTGGCCCAGTATGGTGAGCATCTCTTGATCGATAAACGGCTTGAATTCCACGAGGTCCATATCAAGATCCTCCTCAAGTCGGCCTCGAATATACTTTGAGGTAACTTCATCGAGGTCCACAGACATCATGATCTCCTTCAACGTCGATCGAATCACGCGCTCGGTCTCTTCTCTTTCCCGGGGCCTACACAAACATCCGTGTTTATATTTTGCGATAAATTGAATGAGCGAAACGTGTCAAATATATCGCTAAACGATCGCCCGTCAGTAAATAACCACTGCACTTTATTCTTGTGCTCGTGTGAAATAATACAATTATTCTAAATTTTATTAGCGTTATTTTATCAATCTGTAATTATCAAAATTAAAGCGACTATTTACGAGAGAGTCGATAATTTATTGATAATCTCGTCGTTTTATTTCTTTCATTATTAATCAGCTCTGTTTTCACCAAATATTTTTAATCACTTTGCATTATTTTTCATATTCCTCTATACATATATAAAAAAGTGAAAAACTATTACGCTAAAAGATACTAAAAATAGAATTAAATGAGAATACAGTAACCTTCGCACGAAGAACTTGCATTGTGGCTCTTTACGCTCCTTTTGATTATTATTTGATTTTATTAATCACTTGAGCCTTTCACATCTTTTATACTAAAAATAGATTTATACATATAAATACAGGGATCGAATTGTGGGACGTAACGGAAGTCGTGGGATATATCAATGTCCATCGCGTGCTCTCCGGGCTTTCGTAACATCGGAATCCAATAGCCGGAGTGACCTAATCCCTCGAGATGTTTAGCTTAATTCGAAAGGGAGGGCAGACGTAGAAACTGGAAATAATTGAAGGACGGCTATAAAGTTACGCTCCACTTGTGCGCGTGACCCGGCGCGGCGCAGAGAGCGAGAGCGCGCGCATCAACAAACCACCAACGCTGGCACGGCACCAAGTTAAATTCGCGATGGCCAGCTGTTTCCCGACGGGATCGCCTTGTACACTCCGCGAATCGAACGCGAAATACGTATCGGGCGGCGCTAAATCGAACGTCTGCGAAACTCCCGGCCGGAGCGCACGAGTGTTCTTCGCAGAAGCGCAGAACTCTTCCGCGTGCAATCTGTTATGCTGATTGAAAGCCGAAAGGAGCTTTATTGATGGGATTTCCGCGACGTTTCGGGAGATCGCGATAAGAGCGATCGACTCACTTGGTGCGCACGCTGTCCGGCGACGGCGGTCTCTTAGACTCCAGATTGTCCATGGCGTGCCACTCGTTGAGGCACGACCGATCGCTCTCGATTCGTTGCTCATAGTAACTGACCCAGTCGTGCGATAATCCACCCAGAAAATAGTTCTGCTCGCGTGCCTTACCGGACACTTTGTGCAACGTCTGCAAGGCTGACCTGGAAAAAAAAACACGAAGATGTTAGAAGAAGCGGAAATAATCGAAAGTATCGAGAAGGAGCGGAATCATGTAAAATTGCAATTTTGGACTACGATAGTTGATTGGTGCGAAAGATTTGTCGTATTCGTCAAGTGAGATTGAAAGCAGAGTTGCAAGGTTTCGATTTGAAATACATCTTTTCATCTAGAGACAAGTTTTATACCTGATTCAAAAAAGTTCCGAGTTGTTGGAATGAAAGTCGATAACTTTTTATTTAAAATAGATCTTCACGGAGAAGCGATTTATCTTTTGCACCAATAAAATTAATATTATGAAAAAGTCGATTCTGAAGAGAATGATTAATCCGAGAGCTTTGGTCTCAATCATCGCGTTGTACCAACTCGTTGTTTACTCATCACGGCCTCATTTTCTCCCGGCAATTACGTTTTTTTTTTTTATTGGCACTAGTCGCGAACTACCGTTCGCCGCAATTTCACAGCCGTTTCGCGGTATTTCGCAGGCATGAAGAAGTAAATCGATCAGCGTCATCTTCGAAGATCGACGAAAGTTACGAGCCTCTCCGAGAGAACAAAGTAAGCACGTGTACTTTCTAAACGCCGGCGGTTTACAAGAGAATATCTTTGTGTTCCGGATTTTGTTGGACAGCGAGAGTCAATCGTTCGCATCGCGAGAAATACCCTTCGGAATCACCGTAAGTAGTGACTTTCCCGCTCGCCCTAAAATCCATTCTACGATACAAGCGTCGTGGTTCCCACGACGTTAGTGCGTAAGGCAGTGAGTAAAAAAAAAAATATTGGCCAACGCCTGAGAACAGGAACGCGCCGTCTCGCTTTAAATCGCGAGTAACGATCTCGCAAAAGAGGCGCATTAATAAACATAAAGTAATTTAATACAGTTATTTTTTTTTTTTAAATAATATTAAATAGAAATTGGAAGATTTCCAAAAGCGAACTAGCGTCTGCTTTACTTGTTGTTTTAAAAAATTTCGTCAAGAGACTGCGTGCAGTTTCTGTCGGCTTCTTATTTGGATTTATTGCATTGCAAATTTGAGCTGCGACGTTTGCTAAATGAGCGCCTCGCGTATAGTCTCATATACATATATGATGTCATCGATATAGTTCGCTAAGCACCACTGAAACGTACTCGCTGATTCGTTCTAATGAAACACGAATCTTTCAATGCTGTCACAAAGATAATTATGGTATATATAAAAGTATATAAACTAACATATGAGATTTAAATAACACTTAAATAATATACGAAAGCAAGCTTCTCAGTTCACTTCGATCATTCTTGTTTTGCAAAATTATTACATTTGTAATGTGAAAGAAAAATGACTAATAAATTATGGCAATTAATAACTCAATGCTCACTTATATCTCCGTTCAGGTAAAAATATTTCTCGATTCATGCTTACACTTTAATCATCAGCCGGTTTTAACTTCAGGTTCGATAAACCATTTCTCGCTGTCAATAGCTTCTGCTTCTTGGATGAAGATTTCCTGGCTAACATTTCTGCATATTTGCACATACTTCTCATAAATCCGCCATATCATTTGCATTTGCATAGATTTCTTCCAGTCTTCAATCTTTTATTTATGCTTCTCTAAATCAATATTCTCCAAAGCACTTTCTCTTATAATCTTTCATGAAAATTATGATAATCCTAGAGATTAAAAAAAGATATCGGTTCCCACATTTTGCTTACGTATCTAACAGACTAATCCTGACGCTGCCAAGTAGAATACAACAAAGTTACTAAACTGACTTTTACCTCGTGGATGTTACTCGACATCGCGGATATCGTTTTGAAATACATTGGAAACGAAAATAAACGCCGACAAAATTATCCGCGTTCCAATTACGCGTAAATGGTGCATCTAAAATGCCGTAGCGCGCTTTTAAGCATTGCATCAAGTTCAATTTTGAATATATAAATAAACGCAACGCAAGAAAAAATTCTCGAAAACGGCAAGAATTATTATTCTTCGAAATACGTAAATTATAAAGACGTGAGAAAGTCATAAATTATTATTGATTTCGATAATAATAAAATACCTTAAATACAATTACAGAGAAATGGAGAAATCACAAACGTTTTTAATAGCAGAGGGAAAAAAATCACAAGAATCGCGATAATCTTGTTTCTTATAGCATGTAAGAGCTATATTCACAGTTTCGTTCAGGTTGTATGTACAACCTGTTCTTCTAGAATAATATCAAACCGGTCTCTCGTGCAATGTGAGCGTTCCCCGAAGATGCGGGGACTGAATTTCACGTTTTTCTATAGATTAATCAGCACGAGTAACGAAACAGCAATATTCGTTGGCACGTTCACATTTAGCTATTGCACAGATTTTGGCTGTGGTCTAATTCCAATTTTTTTTTTCTAATTTCTTGCGCTAGAGAAAAATAAGAGTATAATTAAACAATAAAAATGTGCAATCAAATCATTATATTATTACACGGGTGATATTATTCTGATATTAAATTTTTATCCTTGATAAATTTTTTAAGAATCTGTAATTAATGTTTTTAATCGCGTAAATCTCTTCTCGAACTTCAAACACGCACACACCGTCGTGTCATTATTGTTACTTGTGACGGAAAAATCAATCATTTTTAATGTTTTACCCCCCTTCGATCGTTTCCCACTGATTCCATGAGAATCTCTTCAAGATCGAAATCGCGTGCTGCGGAATTATCCTCTTTTCCTTCCCAGCTTATTACAACGCGAGAAACCGCCCGACAAATGTTTCCGACGACGCGCGACCGTCCCGAGAAATGAAGAAAACCTCGAACGTCGTTATCGTCGGCGCTCGACCATGACAACGCCGTCACATAAGAAGAAAGCGTGATCGAAGATTATCCCCCTTCGTCGCGGCGATGGTGTGTATTCGACAGAATCGTCGGGACGTAACCTTACGGGACGCCGGCGATTACCTCGGCTTCACGTACTCGGAACTCTTCGTGGCGTCCGTGATCTATTCGTAATTACGACGCCTACTATTACTGTCAAAGCGAAGTAAAGAAACTTAACTGCAGCATTTACCGCCTATGGTAATCAATATTATAATTTGAAAAAAATATAATACCATTAAATATTCGTCTTTCTAAATATTACAAGTAATAACACTTGTAAAAAAATTTTTTAAAGTCGCAATTCTGTCTGCTGCATTTTTTCTGTCACTTCAAGAATAATCGAAGAACATCGGAAATGAAAGATTCGATCGCTGAGACCGCAACAACCATAAATTCTCGCGATAACGCAGAAATGTTCCTTCCGTAGGTGCGCAGAGGAATAAGATTGTATAAAATCGGAGTCGTAAAGTTCCAAGGATTCCAACGTCCAGGAAGTCCGCCGGCTCCTGACGGGTTTCGCGGGTTGCCACCGGGATAACTGGTATAGGTTTGCCGCTAGGAAACCGCTAAAGGATGCACAATGGGAACTAACTCACGATAGCGACGACGGAATTCACCATCAAGAAGCACACGCACGCGATAACGATAACCGTCCTGTTCGACAGTTAACATTTCACGGACGCTACCTTGTTATTACACACGCGCTGAGGAAATAGAATTCGTGACGAAGTGGCGTGCCGAGTCGAACGTATCTTGATTACTTCTAAAGAAGCACATTATTTTAAAGATCACAAAAAAAATAGACTTAAAAGAATTACGTTTTTAAATCTTATTGTGATTTTGTCAAATTATTTTTAAACTTTTATATAATTTTGTGAATAAAGACACTTCCAAAATGTATGTTGATTTTTGTTCTTTTAATTCAGACAAGAACCTTGATGTGAATGATTAATTATTCTTCTGACAATCTTCTAATCAATAAGAACGCTAACTAAGCAGAGTATAAAGTTGTAACAGAGTTGTAACGGTATACGCTGAGCTAAGACGATGACGATAAACACATTGGAAATACCAGTCATAGAGGAAGCAGTCGACAAAAAAAAATATACGCGATTTCTCGTATATGCAAAATAATACGTAAGAAAATTTTTAGTGAGCATCTGTTGTAAAATATTCTTATCGAGAATATAGATTCTTCTTGCAGATTTAATTATCGTACATGAATAATCAACGTTGCTCGAAGGTGAGCTTCTTTTTACTTTTTAGTAGACATTCGTGTCCGTCTGATTTCCACGTGTTCGCTCGCGTAGAATCTACAAGACGTCATGAATCAACAGGAAAACCTGGAAGGCAAATACACAAAGTCGCATGCGTGCAGTCGTTGCGCATTTTCTATCAAACTGAGCTTTTCTCAGCTAAAGTTCAATGGAAAATTAATATAATTTCCGTTTTCGATATTAAATTAGAATAAGAACTCCGTGCAAGTGAAATTTGTTTGCAAGAGATAATAAAAATAGAATTAGAATTAAGAAGTAATACATTTGCAAACAAAATTCCTAATTTTGTACAACGGACATTCTGTACAATGCTTCCAATTTCTGTAGAGCAATTAATAAACCCTTTAATCGTAAATGTATACGCCAGAATTGCGTGCGTTTTAATTATTGCGTCATTAAAGGCGTATTGATAAAACACGAGCTATTTTTCGACGCGTCTCGCTGCACTGTACTTTGTCTAGGTTTTGATTTATTTGCGGATGATGATGAAACGTGCATGCACTACGTACTTCATCATTCTATCTGCCCCGTCGATCGCGAGGTCGCGTTATTAAGAAACCTCCGGGGAGCATCTTGGCCTTTTGACGCCTTGACCTTGGTTAGGTAGCCGCGCAAATAATAAGCTTCGCCTCTAAGTTCTTGCAATGATTCAGGCGCAAGAGATAATAGACAGCCTCGCGATTTCTCAACTCTTCAATGAGCGTCGTTATTTTAATTGTCAGAACTTGTCGACGCGCATTTTCCCACGCTTTACATGTTACTTCAAAATGTTTCAGGCGAGAAAATCGTCATAAATTAATCGTCAATTCCTTAATTTGAAAATTACACGACTGGAAACGTGCAAAAAATCTCGCCCGAC